ATCGATACAGTCTTTCCGGCCAATAACCTTCAAGGCGACCAGACAATGCCCGTTTTCGCTGCCGCTTGCATGCCTGTTGCTAAAACCCCACTTGGGACCCGGTCAACCTACTGAGCGAACGTGTCTCTACCAAGTCAATCTACTATCATCTACTCTTCTTTCCTTTGTGTACACAATACATTCTTCCAACTACTCTGGCCTTTATGGACTTCTATTCTGCACTTAGTAACCATGGTCTGAAGATCGCAGTTGCACGGTTTAACTCACTTAACCCCCTGCGATAGATCCACCAGAAGCGATTGCCATCAGGCCTAACTGCACGCGATCAAAACGAGCTCTGATTTCGCCAGTGGCCACTGCTGCCTGAGATGGTAAGTCCGGGTTCTGCGCACAATAATGCCCTCATTCTGGTGGTTTCTACCTTTTACCTACATCATGGGACTTTACCTGTGTGGTCTATCAACAACCTCGGCTGTAGCGGTTATTTCGGGGGTGTTCAGCAGCCACATTCAAACGCTTGGGCGGAGAGTCTAGTCCAAGGTGGGGCGGCTCAGACCCATAAGCTATTGGTCACGAGTTCAACTTCGCAGCCACGAGGATAATCATCAACATCAGAAGCATGAACCGCGAATTGCTTGAAGCCTAGGCCTGAGATCAGGCTGCCGCCAGTAGACATATAGATCTGGTGCCAGAATACAGAACCCTGCGCAGTCACCGATTTTGATTGGTTCATACCCTTGTGTATCTTCTGCTCGTTTTGGTACCGCGTTTATCTTTGACGGTGGGCTCCTGTACGCCCTCGAAACCTCCGAGAAATTAAGAAGTTTATTTGACCCATTTGTGAAAACTCATCGGCTTTGGAGGAATTCGAACCCACGGCAGCAAGCGATGTGCCTTAGTAAGGACAGCCCTCTTACCAACTGAGCCCCACTGGGAACCGTAATTCTTCTTCTTTCTCTACTTAACCTGGACAGTTTCGCTTTCATCTGTATGCTACTGCAGCGTTCTATACCCTCAGGGAGGATTTTATAATTAGCAGACACGCGGAAATGATATACACAAAACACAACCGCAATACCAATATTGATGGCAGTGGCTCGAACAAACCCTTGCTGATCTGCGAATAATACGAATGTCCAATATGAAACGTTGTAGGAGGCTGACGGCAGCTCGTCGCCCTTTAATCAGCCTTCGTTCTGGCAGCTATACGTTACCAGAAATGCGCCACTTGATTGGCTGGAAAAATTAACGCCATTCCTTTTGGTGGTATCAACCACGATTTGTAGTCTGCAGCTGTTCTAGGGTGAAGCTACTCGTTTGTTCTTGTCCCTGCTCTAAGGACTCTCTCTGCTAGGCAGATAGCCGTGCCGGCAAAGATATGGCAGACTTGGATGGCCATTAATGGCTAATTAGCTGTTGTCAGCCATGCCTTAGGCAGAGCACTACTTAGGGTTGCGTATGATTTGGTAATGAAGGCTAATTATCCATAAATCACCAGTGCAGTCTCCCTTGTCTTAGTCAGCAAAGCTATCTGCCTAGACTACCAGCCGTTTTAAGTAGAGTCAGCTGCCGCGCATAATATGATGCTCAGTCGGCGTGAATCGACCGTGCCGTTGACGTGTAAGAATTGCAGAAAAATCATCAATTTCTTTCTAAGATAAACACATTTTCACCCTACCACACCAATCTAGCAATTGCGAATTGGAAGGCTACCAGAGAGAATGACTACGTCCCTCTCATAATGACTTGAATGGGTGAGTTGAGACCTATATTCGTTTTTGTGTGCTACATTTGGTAAGCCAATATTTCGTTTGTCAAAACAACCATCCAGTAAACGAGCAGGATATTGGTTTTAAAACATTTG